GCATATAGTTAACAATTATTGTTTCCCTCCGGATGCAGTAGTGCGTACAAGAAACGGCCCATTGCTGATGAAAGATATAGAAATTGGAATGGAACTTTTAGCTGTGAGTTCTAACCATAAACCAGTTTATAGTCCAGTTATATCAATGTTGGACGTTGATGATGACCAACTAGCAAATTACACAATCATAAAGACATCAGGTAATCACAAGCTGACACTGACGCCAAACCACCTTGTTCATGCAAGCAAAACAAATGACATCTCATCATCTGTACCTATATTCGCTTCACAAGTGAAAAAAGGTGACAAGATGTTTATTGCTAAATCTCCTGATGTTATTGAAGCAGTTGAAGTTGTTAGCACATCTAGCAAAGTCATCAAGGGTGCTTATGCTCCACTGACAAGAGAAGGTACTGTGGTTGTTGATGATGTTGTAGCTTCTTGCTATGCTGTTGTTAATGATCATCAATTTGCTCATGCCATGTTTGGCCCATTACGTTATCTTTATGATACTTTCCATACTTCACTTCATAGCAAACAGAAGCAAGGGATTGCTTGGTATCCTTCAATGCTCCAGTCACTAGGTCAAGTGTTCCTGGATGACAGCAACTACAAGCCAATGAAAGTTGAAGATTTGATCAAGAGCAGTGATTAGTAGATCTACTTTGTAGAGTGAACTTTTAATTATTGTTATAGCAACTTATTGCTACTTTTTTAACATAAAAATAGTTTTTGCTATGCATGTGGCTTTAGCTGCATGTTTTTGCTGCATTGATTTTATTATTATTATCTTTTAGTTTCATAGTTTAATTTTAATTTTAATGCAAGAGATTTATTGCGCTAGGACAAATATTGCACAGTAAGCTAAATTTAGAATTAACATTAACGGTAATACAGTATAGCATTAGCATCAATTGGTTAGCATAGTACTGTATTGGCAGTAAGTTGTAGCATCAAAATTAAATATAAGATTAGATTAACCATTAAATAGTTTCTAATATTTATGAATTAGCACTATAATCTGCTACAGTGATTCAGTGAGGGGGAGACTTATAATTGTCCCTTTTACAGTATACTTGTATATGTAGCAGGAAATGTAATTAAAAAGGTCAAGGGAAATATTTTTGAGCAACTTTTAAAATTTGTAAATAATCCAATTTTGATCAGAATCAGCTTAAACTTTTTTATACAACATAAGTACATAGATATGCATCAGAAAAAATTATAAAAATAAAGAATTTTCTACTTTTCAAATTATGGTAAAGTTTAACAGTTTTTGAGAAACTTCAAAAAACCAAATTTGATTGGAATGAGCCCAAACTTTTTACACAACATAAGAACATGTATGTGTATCAGAAAATATCATAAAAATTGACAGTTCTCTGCTTTTCAATTTTGGTGAAATTTGGCTGGCCCTGTACTATAATACAAATCAGGCCAAAGTCCCTGTACTATAGTACATTGCATGAGGGAACTAAGCCCTTAACAAACATCTTTAACAAAATAAACACAAC